ATCTTTTCGGACAATTGTGCCTCACCCTTTCCTTAAACTCTGGATCTGTCTCTGCTTTTTTTATACATGTATATGTATACAAAAGATCTCGTTTAATCCAAAGAGAACGTGTGATTAACGGTTTATTCGAACACACTTAACACACTGTGATTAACTTCACTGATTGCCGCACTAGAAAGAACGCATTACATACCAGTTCTATTGTGCTTTGTATTTTTCTATGCTTTATAGTCCCACACATTGTTATCATTAATAATATTATGATATATTAGTATGTATAACTTTTCATTCGATCACGTCTGTTAATATCATTGTATATGCAATAATCTTCAATAGGTTTTTATCATTTATTGTTTATGAGTTTGTGCCAAGAAAGGTATTTGATTCATGAATGAAACACTTACATGTACGTATCCCAAGTGAAATAACCATAGCCAAAATATGGAAATGGTATGGACACTTTGCCATACATAACTTTAGGTAGTAGGATCCAAATGTTCAAGTTGGATGCATTCACCCTATATGTGGCTACAACATTGTCAAGTCCGACCTGGGACGTCAAAGGGGGGATTGACCATGTTGCGACCTGACGTCTCTTTTGAAAGTACATGTGACCTTTAAAATGTTTAAACCGGGAATCAAATCAGTTTAGAACTGAATAGTTTGCTTAAAAGTGACCTGGTGACCCGAGGCAATTTTTAATCGTGACCTTGTGATCTAAAGTGGTACTGGAGCACAGTCACTTTTCTCCTTTTATTCATACAATATTGTATGTTCGACTCGTCATGTTCTACTTTCTTTTTTAAACTTACGGTACCGAATATTGTGTTTTATTATTCGCCATTTATCTTGACAGACGCGTGTTACTAGGTATAGTATCTACCACATTTTCAAAAGATAAGCTACGAAGTACATACGGCATCTACATACAGTTGAAGTCGATGGTACCTGTTGTAAGTAGTTTAAAAGGTTAATATGAATTGAACTTGTATTGAACGAGATTATGTCTTGCCTGATTTGCAACAAAATGAAAGAAGAAGAATGTCATCATGGTCATGGACTGCCATAATAAAAAATCTTTGAAACTTAAAAACAAAAGAAGAAACGAATACAAACTAGAATATGTTTTAGTGACGAATTAGAAATGGACATATTGTGTAGACACCTATCTATTGTTGAAATTATACTATATGTTGCCTTCTAGATGTCCTTAGTTTGTTCTTGTCGTTTGGTTGCTGTCTTATTGACGTGTGACCTACATTTCATACAGTTTCAGTTCCGTTGAGTGTACTTTTGAATCGGTGCATGAAAAATCATAACTAAACTGGTTATTGTGTATAGATTAATTGTGAACCAAAGAGAGATGTACACAGACACTTGTTTCTATCAATATGTAATACACATGAATAGTCGACCTTCCCATTTGGAGATGTACCTAAATTAAAAATATTAATATGTAAACAGAAAATAATGTTACACTTTTCAATCTCTAACTTCCCCTCCCTCCATTTTTTTTTTTTACTGTATCAATATTAAAGACATGTCGCTTCTAAACAAAATCTGATTGATCTGTAGCTTATCCCCCAAACCTGCTTTGATACAAACTTAAATATGTTCCTCGATCATTAAATTCGATCCCAAAACTTAAAAGACATACATATCTAAATAGTCGTAATTAATTCCATTGAGCACGAAACTATAATCCAAATCAAATTTTATTTATTTGGATATTCTAAAATACATTTCTTTTTCCGCAGAAATTACAAAAAAAAAAAATATTATTATCTGGTTTGACTGGGAAATACTGATTTAAGATGATACATTGTACACAAAATATTATAAAATATTATGTCCCACCCTTTGAGTGGAAAACATATCATGTTTTAGCATAAAATCGTCTATTTTGGAGTGAAAAAAATTGGATGATTTAAATAAATTAGATGTTTTTGATGGTCTTTTGGATTCTGTTGACAGTTTTGACTTTTCTACTCTAATTAAATGGTCGTTTGGAAGATCTGAATGCGAATTTTCTACTCTTTACACTACACCTCCACACAATCTTATCAAACAAAAGTTTTCTTATTTAATTAAATGGTCGTTTGGTAAATCTGAATGCAAATATATTTGCTGCCATTCATTTAAAGCCTTCTTCTTTAATGTGAAAGGTAAATATGCTAGATATACTTACTGGAGGTGGAATGAGATGATTGAAGCTGTTAATTTCCCCTTGATAATATTTATGTACGTTTTGGCAACAAAGTTTATCGACAGGTTGTAGGTATTCCAATGGGCACTAATTGCGCCCCTTTAATAGCAGACTTGTTTTTGTACTGTTATGAATCATAGTTTATGACCACACTAATTAAAGACCCGTCAAAATTGCATTTAACTGATAAATTCAACAACACTTACCTTTATCTTGATGATATTTTTTCGTTAAAAAATCAAGAATTTTCTAAATATACTGCCGAAATTTACGACAAAAGGGACGATTTTTCGTTCCCGATTGTTATTTTTCCCTTTTTGGATGGTGATGTTCCATTGGCACCATCTTATGGTGTTTTAATTTCACAACTCGTTCGCTATGCCCGTGTCTGTTGTGACGTTTTTGATTTTAACGAACGTAATCTATGTATTACTGGTAAATTATTAAGCCAGGGATTTCGTTACCACAAATTACTTAAAACCTTTACTAAATTCTTCCATAGATATAAAGATTTGGTTTTGAAGTTCAAATGGGATAGCACATCCTAATTTTTATGGAAATGTTGTTTACCGTGCCCGGAAATTTAGAAACGATCCTGGTAAACTTGTCGATCCGTTAAATAAACTTATTCTAAAAGGTTACCAATTCAACACTGTAATTAGATCATTGAAAACTGTTTTATTGGTATCAATATTGATTTTGTTGTCAGTAAATTAAAAGCAAACTAAATATTATTGTTATATAATTCATATACACATTCATGGATCTACAATCTGTCGATACCTGTATCTTGGCATTACACAAGGTCGTGTTTTTCCTCTGACTGTTTATGACGTCTGTGCACTAAATCCATTGGATGTTGGATGCGTACAGATTGATAATTAAGTCTTAGATGCATGATTTTTTTATTACTTGTTAGTGGCTTTGAACTAGCTGTCAGTAACTTCGAGTACTCTCAGATCAGTACTTAGTGTCTTTTTGTTGTTGGGATATACAAGTACCCAGCCACGTCCACTCTGTGTTTTTGTTAGATGAATGTTATTTGTATCCATCTGATGAGTTAAGCCTTTTTCAACTGATTTTTATAGTTCGTTCTTATGTTGTACTGTTACACCACTGTCCCAGGTTAGGGGGGGGGGGGGGATCCCGCTTACATGTTTAACCCCGCCACATTCTGTATGAATGTGCCTGTCCCAAGTCAAGAGCCTGTAATTCAGTGGTAGTCAATTGTTGAAGTGTTACATATTTGTTTTTTGTTCATTTTTTGTATATAAATTAGGCCGATAGTTTTCTCGTTTGAATTGATTTACATTTGTACGTCATTTCGGGGCCTTTTATAGCTGACTATGCGATATGGGCTTTGCTTATTGTTGAAGGCCGTACGGTGACCTATAGTTGTTAATTACTATGTCATTTGGTCACTTGTGGAGAGTTGCCTCAATGACAATCATATCACATCTTCTTTTTTATATTCGCTACATGTACACTCGGTGATATTTTTTAAATTAAATATATGGAGTTACACTCCTTTCAAAATCGAGGGTCCGCCCCTAAAGGTAAGAGTACTTTTGAACTGTGCAGTATATCTGAGGTAGTAAATGCATACCTTTGCTGTGCATTATCCAGATTATAGCACAGTAAGAACAAAGAGATTTTACTCATGTCATGTGTTAAGTATCCATATGACAATATGACTCGCTTAAAATATCAAATTTTCATGTTCATTGAATTGCAAATTATGGTTCAAATTCCTAATTTGGCATACATTTCAAAAAGAACATGTCATAATGAACATGTGAATAGGATCAAGTTGACATAAACACAACTCCATTGTAATTTAATCTATCTTAACAAACAGAATAAACCTAGTATCGGACGGACTGACGGACGGCAGCACAGACCAGAAAAGATTATGCCCCACTACCGTAGGCGGTACATACAAATCCTAGTCACAAAGGTAAGAATGGCCAATTTTGTTTGAGGCTGATATTCAGACGATCCCCAGTAACAGCTATTTTAATTTCAATGTTCCCTCATTGTTGCACGTGACAAGAAGCCTTGATATTAGAACAGGCTCTGTAGCATAGCTGACGCACCTAAGCCTCACATTTAACAAAACAAGTTGACTAATTGCAACTAATGCACGAAGATACCAATGTAAATGACGAGTAATTTTTTCAAAGTTGAGTGGAATATTCGGTGTCTTCGGCTATGCACATATCTCGTCAGGAAGATTTTCTATATGTCGTTCCTCAAAATACAGATTTTGTTTCGTTTCGTAGTGTTTCGTTTCTCAATTTACATGTTTCGTTTCGTTTCGTCGTGTTTCGTTTCGTTTCGCCATGTTTCGTTTCGTTTCGCTCTGTTTCGTTTCTGTTCCGTTTCTCACTTTACCGGGACCCGAAATAGACAGTAAATACGAAACACAAAAATTTAAAAACATTGATAAACAAAATTTTAATCTGCTAACCGAGTCTCTGTGGTCCCAGCTGATATCCTAGCTTCTACTGCCTGGGACTATATTATACTAATAATAGTCTCAGTCCTCTATCGAAATCTTATTGTTAAAAATAAATGGGAAAAAATCTGCGTCCATGACCAAAGCGCATGCGTCCCTGGTTCGCGTTATTAGTGTCTACTTGGGCCAGGAATTACAGGGCTAGAAGAGGCGCACTTTGCAATTTGGTCTAGATAACATGCCAAATTGATCGGGATTGGTTTCAGATGGCCGGAATGTTTCAGAAAATATAGTACTAGACTGATTCCCTGTCCCTATCTGTTTCTCTCATATACCCGTATGTTGCAAGGGAGAGAACCAGCCTAATATAGTACTTCCGGTTTAAAAACTTACTTCCTGTGATGAAAAATTGGTACGAACTTTTGAACAGTTTGACTAAAATTCAAAGAAACTATTAGTGCTTGTTGTTTGTGTTATACAATTAATTTCATTTCTGTGATGATAAAATAATTTTAATGACACACACTCCGTATATATACCCAATTACCTTTTATATTCGTAAACGCAAGCAATGTTTCAACTTTCATTTTTCATTTTTATCATCACGCGTGAAAGTCAGCGAAAAATAATGAATAATAGAAAATCCGTTACTCCAGATAATTTTAATATGACAATATAACTTTTTATATGCCTTCATTACTAAAGAAGATAGTCTGTAATAAATTTTTATACAGATAAAGGAAGGACATCCAACACCTGAAATTAAATCACGTCATAATTTTCTTAAGAATAATCTGGATGCAAGTTAACTGTATTATGTATATCATTGAAAACTTGTATTATGTCAATCGCACCAAAATTTACAAACTCAGAGTCACACCATTGTCAATTTTTACAAATCTAAAGTCGTATCTATCCAAACTCATATTGGCTAGAGGTATAGGGGGAGGGTTGAGATCTCATAAACATGTTTAACCCCGCCGCATTTTTTGCGCCTGTCCCAAGTCAGGAGCCTCTAGCCTTTGTTAGTCTTGTATTATTTTTAATTTTAGTTTCTTGTGTACAATTTGGATTTTAGTATGGCGTTCATTATCACTGAACTAGTATATATATTTGTTTAGGGGCCAGCTGAAGGACGCCTCCGGGTGGGGGAATTTCTTGCTGCATTGAAGACCTGTTGGTGACCTTCTGCTGTTGTCTGTTCTATGGTCGGGTTGTTGTCTCTTTGACACATTCCCCATTTCCATTCTCAATTTTATCATACATTGTTTCGTCATAATCATCCTTAAAATGTACCATAGGCATAGTCATAGATGACTTTCGAACTCGTGCACTATCCCATAAATTTCCTATATGTATGTCACAATGCTAATGTTATTATGTCACAGTAAGAACCTTTTCATTACATAACCAATCAACATAAATATGCTGTGTATGTGCTTGAAAACATTTTGATTACAAAATGTATATGTGTAAATAAATTATCAGGTTGGGGTGGATCCTCATAAATGGGTACTTCCAGCAGACAGTATCCTCATTTATGGGTATTATACATGTACCCTAAAGCGGGTATCAATTTTCAGTGATTAAAATATAAACTTTGGATTTACAGATATTTTCTGTCCTGGCGCAAATATTCGGGTAAAGGACAACATTTTGCCTATTGATGACTGAAATAATCGGAAATATCATCAGGATAAAAGTTAACAGCCTGCAAAAAGTAGGATTTTTGGAGGCCATTATATTTTTATTCAGTTCTCATTTGAACTATTGTCTTAAAGGAATTATTTATATGAATATTTGCGCCATGACAGCTATCATGATGAAATTCAAAATTTGATTTTTTGTCACTGTAAATTGATACTCGATTTTGGGTATAATACCCATAAATAAGGATAGTACCCATTTATTAGGATCTCACCAACCTGTTTACATGTTGTATGTTGATGAAATTGTCAACAATAAAACATATATATATATATAAAATGTATGCTGTGTATGTGCTTGATATGGACTTTGCTCATTGTTGTAGGCCGTACGGTGACCTATAGTTGTTAATTTCTGTGTCATTTGGTCTCTTGTTGAGAGATGTCTCATTGGCAATCATACCACATCTTCTTTTTATATTGAAACCATTTAGATACTATGTGATTTGTTGTTGATGTTAGATGTTATGAATACATTAATAAAAGATCACTCTTTGTTTTCATGATCCCATTATACCTATATATATATATATAGCTACTAGTCAGGTAATAATCAGATGAACATCATATACTACACACATATAAACAAAGCTTACTTTAGGGTTACAATTTGGTCAGATTACATTCAAATTATTCAATTTCAAAGATGCTCCACTACAAATGAACTTTTGATTTATTCAGTTGTATTTGAAAATATATTTTCAAGTTTTAACAGTTTCATACCAACACATGATCAATGCGGGTGCATTTAAATGAGTTCTTACAAATTGTAGTGGCATGAGTTTGCAGATGTACAAATGTACGAGTTGCCTGTTGGTCGTACAGGTTGACATTGGTACAAATTTACAATGGTACACCTTTCATGAGTTAAATATACAGTTAACTCTTGTTAATCTCGAACTCGGTGGAGTCGAAATTTAAGATGAGTCGAAGTTTTCCCATCGTCCCGAACTTTGTTCCCCATAAATATAGGTGTTTTGACTCCTGGTGAGTCGAAATTTTTTGACTCTAACCAAATTTACGGTCCCAAAGTTTAACAAAAGCATTCAAACTGCATTTATTATCTCGAACTATAAAGACACATATGTTAAAACAAGACCTTGAGGATTTAAATGGATTGAAGAGTTCATCTGACAATACACTTGTAATTAAATTTCTGGTCACTGACCACTGTATATTGATTTATAACATTCTTTTTAACAAGCGTTTACCTAAGATTATCTTTGCTCACCATGAAAAATATTTAGTGATAAATTTAATGAAAAATTATTTAAAATGTTCTAAAAACAATTAACTGTAATCATATTATATTAATGAGCTCGGTTGTGCATTAAGGAAGGATTAAGACTTGGTGATTAACTCAAAACTACTCAATCTGTGTCTTTCATCGTTTTGTATTTTCTCTTGCAGAAAAAGATTGAAATAAAAGAAAATGAAAAGAAATCTAAATTTTCTAAAATATCTTGTATACGAAAATGAACAATTTTGTCAACTTTAAATCATGCTAAGATTGCTTAGAAAATTACTCTTTAGGCTAAAAACGTCACGAAAAAATTGTAACTTTACAGAAATAAATAATAAAAAAATCATGTAATTTTCATAAAATTATTAAGATAAAAGACTAACATATAGATCCATTTATCTCAGTCCAGAATATTGGTCCCCTACCCTTATTCATCTAGATTTATTTTAGCCTTACCAAGCTAAGCAAGAGATGTGTCCATTGGTCTTTCAAACTTCTGGTGTTTGTTTGAGTTGAACTACGGGTATCTCGAAATATTTCTCTGGTCTGGCTGACTTAGAGGAAACGAGAGTCAACTGTACTATAAATAAATAATTCCAATCCAATTTTGATTATTAAAAAAAAATGTTTTTTAAATGATTCAAGTCATACCTGTCAAATGTGACAGTAAACATGTACCCATGAATTTTATTGCATTGAGGAAAACAGTATCTTGTCAAAATGTGTTCAGATATTTTAAGTTTTTAAAGAACATGCTTCTTTAGGAGAGTAAATCTCCCTCAAATGAAGGATTTTTGCAGTGTAAAAAAATCATTTGATTGTGAATAAATACATTATACATTATATTTAAGATATCACAATGACATACTAAAGAAAAATACAAATAATAAAAAAATTACTTGTATCCTTCAAGGGAATATGTCTGTAATAGTAAATATTTTGGTGAGAGAATTTTTATGCCCCATTTATGGGCATTATGTTTTTCTGTCTGTGCATCCGTTCGTTCGTTCATTCGTTCGTCCGTCCGTTCTTCCGTCTGTCCCGTTAAAGTTTTTAGTCCAGGTAGTTTTTGATGAACATGATGAAGTTGAAGTCCAATCAACTTGAAACTTAGTACACATAGTCTCTATGATATGATCTTTCTAATTTTAATGCCAAATTAGAGTTTTGACCCCAATTTCACGGTCCACTGAACATAGAAAATGATAGTGCTAGTGTGGCATCCATGTACTATGGACACATTCTTGTTTTGGGATAATTTTATGCAAAAAAATAAAAGAAATTCATCAATTTAAGGGGTAAGAAGACAACTATAATAAAATTTTCAATACTTTGAAAATATCCGTCACTCGAGGAATATTTACTCATTTTGGTAGCTATTCTCTTTTTTGAGATGGGGTGCTGAATTTAAAGATTAGTGTGAAATTTATTCAATGGTAAAAATGTGCACATTTCTTCAAAATATTCACAAAAATGTGAACTACATGTACTGGTATGTAATGAAAAATATTTTCTATCATTTCTTTTTTAAGTGTATACCGGCTCATTGAATGGAGCTGATGTTGTATGGTGATCTGTTCTCAATGAAACTTTCTCAGGTTAGAATCTAGTACTCCTCCCCAAAATCAAATCAATTAACACCAAAAGAACTGAAAACCAGATTAAAAGATACTGTTATTCTCTATGCTTAATGGCAGCTACATGTACCTTGTCACAGAAGTGCACAAACCATGTTCAGGTAAGGCTTTGGTTACAGATACAAGCAGTAATTTTGATGAATGAATTGTATAGTGTTGCTCTCTTTTATTTTTTGTAAGCAGATAATTTAAAGAAAGATGTTTGGTGGAACCTCAGCATTCAGCACAACAGCAAGTACCAATGCTAATGCAATGAAAGATGTGGAGGTATGGTTATACATGTACAAAGACATTCAAATTATGTTGTTACATAAAACAACCACTTATTTATCATGTTTATCATTCCATTGAATTATGTGTTGGAAAATAGTAGAATGAAAAAGTACAGCATTTAAACTTATAGAACTTATCAAAGTAACACATGTAAATATTCTTTTTATCCAGAACGGATAATTTTATTAATCAGATCTGCGGGATATGTATCTGGTAACAGATAACAGCCAGAAAGCTACAAAAGTAGCACCAAACTTGCATGACATCATTTTGCCGTGGAAGAAGAACGTCCATGAAGGACGGAACTAGTCGGGCAATAATATTATTTCAGGCATTGTTAATATTCTTACTGCACAGTTACCTAACTGATTAAAGTAATATATTATACTTTTGACAAATTAATAGTATAGGTTATGTCGAAAACACATAATTAGCAGCGCAGCAGGCGCTGTTAATTATGTGTTTACGGCATTACCTAAATGCTTTTATTTGTCATAAATTTATTTGCACTGAAACACATAATCAATAAAGAAAGCTCTATTAGAGCTATTGTGTTATTATTCATATAATATACATATTGTATTATATTATATAATGCTAAAAATGTTTTGTTATATGGCATGGAGCATATATTTTGAGATTATTTTTTAACAGGTTCAGAGTCCTCCAGATGATAGTGTGAGCTGTATTAAGTTCTCTCCAACATCAACAGGGACATCCAGTTTTTTTATTGCTGGGAGTTGGGATAATAATGTAAGCTAAATGATATACATGATTCAATTGAAGGTTTAAGAGGATGGATACAATTGTACTTTTACAATTTACATAGAACCTTTAAGGCTTGTTGTGTTCACAGTAGCATTGTTATACACATATTCAAAGTTCCTGAGTCAACATGCTTCACCCAGTGTAGTCTTGTATTTCTATTATATTTTGTTATAATGTGCCTTAGGGGCCAATATCATACCTGTACTTTTGATTTCTAAACTGTTAAAATCTCACTTCAGAAATATTTGTAGTCCTACTTGTTTTTTATCTGTAAGATTGGAATTTCCGAATTATATTTAGTCAACACCCTGAATAATGACTTTTCCAAACTGATTTTAGCCAACCTTATATGCTATCATAGAATAATTCCATTTATACAAGAAAACATGAATTGAATTTAGTTCCTTGTTACCTTTTTGGTTTAATATTTCAATGTTTTTAGTTTTAATTACCAAAAATATTGGACAGTAGAACAGATCACACCAACAACATAAGCTTGTTATGTCCAAACCAAGTTTTCTTCCTTAAAATTAGAATATTACAAACTGAATTAGGTGCATCTTTCCTGTCAACATTTTAAAAACTTGTATATATGATAATAAATTTTACCCTCACTCTAGAAGTGTGGGCTATAATGTAATAAGGGCCCTGCCGAATGGCGGCCGCCCTATAGTCATCAGTCTGTCCGTCCGTCCGTAACAAATCGTGTCTGCTCTATATCTAGAGAACCGTTATGATTTCAAAGTTTATACTTGACATGTATATTAACCAACACCAGAGGGTGTGTCATAATGTATGTTCAACTTCCTAGGTCAAAGGTCAAGGTCAAAAACTGGTTTTAGTTGACAACCCCATGTTCTATGGTAATATCGTGTCCGCTCTATATCTTGAAAACCGCGTCCGTCCGTCCGTAACAAATCGTGTCCGCTCTATATCTAGAGAACCGTTATGATTTCAAAGTTTATACTTGACATGTATATTAACCAACACCAGAGGGTGTGTCATAATGTATGTTCAACTTCCTAGGTCAAAGGTCAAGGTCAAAAACTGGTTTTAGTTGACAACCCCATGTCCTATGGTAAAGATCGTGTCCACTCTATATCTTGAGAACCGGTATGATTTCAAAGTTTATACTTGATATGTATATAAACCAACACCAGAGGGTGTGTCATAATTTATGTACAACTTCCTAGGTCAAAGGTCAAGGTCAAAAACTTTGGTTTCAGTTGACAACCCCATTTTCAATGATAAAGATACAAATTTTTTACCACACATTATTCACAGCGGGGCCCAGAGAGATGGCTCCCATCTCAATGATATCTAGTTACCTTGTTCATCCTTCCATTCATCCTACAAATATTTTCGTCACATTTTTCTCAGAGACTACTGAACAGAATGACTTCATATTTGGTCAGCAGCTTGAAATTGATGAGTTGTAAAGTGTGAGCACCTTTCAAATATTTCAGATAACTACTTTCTGTATGCCAATACTTTTGAATTTTTCAATATTTTGAATGACTTCATATTTGTTCAGCAGTTAAACAGCAGTTAAACAGTGAATAGTTGTTATGGTGTGCACTTTTCAGATTTGACAGACACCTCCTTCCTGTATTGGGGTACTTTGAATTAAGAAGGGGGTATGCTTATCACAACATCACACATATTCTTGTTATTTCTGACATTAGTAACTTAAAAATCAGTTTTCCAAATTTTTTGATGCATTGAATATTTCTTTTAAACCTTTGACTTGAAAGGAATGATATTTTTATATTTCTTCAATTGTTGAAAGATTTTTATAGTCGTATATTGGTATGATGTTGGCGTCGTCGTCGTTGTCGTCGTCCGAAGACACATTGGTTTTCGCACTCTAACTTAAGTTGAAGTGAATGGATCTCTATGAAATTTTACCATAAGGTTCAATACCACAAAAGGAAGGTTGGGATTGATTTTGGGGGTTATGGTACCAAAAGTTAAGGAATATGGGGCCAAAAATAAGCATTTTTGTAACTTCCAGACATAACTTGTGTGTTAGTGTATGGATCTCTCTGACATTGTACCACAAGGTTCCATATCACAAAGGGAATGCTGGGATTGATTTTGGGGGTAATTGCCTCAAAATTTTAGGAATTAGGGGCCAAAAAAGGGCAAAAACAAGCATTTTTCTAGTTTCATGATAATAATTTGTGTGTTAGTGTATGGATCTTTCTGAAATTGTACTACAAGGTTCCATATCACAAAAGAAAAGCGGGAATAGAGTTTGGGGATAATTGCCCAAAACGTTTAGGAATAAGGGGCCAAAAATAAGCATTTTTCTAGTTTCCAGACAATAACTTGTGTTCAAGTGTATGGATCTCTCTGAAATTGTACTGCAATGTACCATACCACAAAGGGAAGGCTGGGATTGATTTTTGGGGTAATTGCCTCAAAATATTAGGAATAAGGGGCCAAAAAGGGGCAAAAAACAAGCATTTTTCTAGTTTCAGGACAATAACTTGTGTGTAAGTGTAGGGATCTTTATGAAATTGTACTACAAGGTTCCATATCACAAAGGGAAAGCTGGGTTTGAGTTTGGGGGTAATTGTCCTAAATGTTTAGGAATTTGGGGCCAAAAAGGCGCCTAAAAACAAGCATTTTCTAGTTTCCAGACAATAACTTGTGTTCAAGTGTATGGATCTCTCTGAAATTGTACTGCAAGGTACCATACCACAAAGGGAAGGCTGAGATTTAGTTTGGGGGTGATGAATCATAAGGGGGTTAAAAAAATTTGGGGGAGGGATTTTTTTTTCTTTAAAATTTTCCATTTTAAATTGGTTATTTCTGATTTATATATAAAAGCAAATAATAATGATATGGTTTGAAAAGGTAAATTAAAATTTTTTAAGTTCTTGGACCAAATTCATTCTGTGTCAGAAACCTATGCTGTGTCAAATATTTAATCACAATCCAAATTCAGTGCTGTATCAAGCTTGAATGTTGTGTCCATACTTTCCCCAACTGTTCAGGGTTCGACCTCTGCGGTTGTATCAAGCTGCGCCCAGTGGAGCATTTTGTTGTGATTTATCTATATTAACGGAATAGGAATTTCTAGCTTGCTATTGTAAATTCAGAAATTATTGTGAGGTTTTTATAAAGCGAATAATGCAACTGGGTGAGTATTGCAATAATAAGAACTTGCATTCTGATAACTGAAACATAGACCTGTATGCAGATTTTTTCCAAATCCAAATAATTAAAGTCGCATATTGTCCGTTCTTGAAAAATCGCAATAATAAATGCATGCAATAATTTCTGAATATACAGTAGTTGATTTTAGCCCATTATGATTTTATTTTAAGTCCCATTTTGTGTAGCTTTAAGTTAAATGGTCTTGAAATTTTTTTCTGTTAGCTTGCTTCATGTATATTAAGTTGTTTTATTTGATCCCTTAACTACATGATATATCTTGTATATATGTCATCTTCTCATGTAATGAACTTCTCATGATACTTCAGGTCAGATGTTGGGAAGTAACACACCAAGGGCAGACAATACCTAAAGCTCAACAGACACATACAGGTCCTGTCTTAGACTGTGACTGGAGTGATGTAAGTACCTTAAGCTCAACAGACACATACAGGTCCTGTCTTAGACTGTGACTGGAGTGAGGTAAGTACCTTAAGCTCAACAGACACATACAGGTCCTGTCTTAGACTGTGACTGGAGTGATGTAAGTACCTTAAGCTCAACAGACACATACAAGTCCTGTCTAAGACTGTGACTGGAGTGAGGTAAGTAACTTAAGCTCAACAGACACATACAGGTCCTGTCTTAGACTGTGACTGGAGTGAGGTAAGTACCTTAAGCTCAACAGACACATACAGGTCCTGTCTTAGACTGTGACTGGAGTGAGGTAAGTACCTTAAGCTCAACAGACACATACAGGTCCTGTCTTAGACTGTGACTGGAATGATGTAAGTACCTTTAAAGAGAGGCGAAAGATACCAAAGGGACATTCAAAGTCGAAAATAAACTGACAACGCCATGGCTAAAAAAGAAAAAGACCAATAGACAAACAATAGTACACAAAACGCAACATAGAAAACTAAAGACTGAGCAACACGAACCCCACCAAACACTGGGGGTGATCTCAGGTGCTCCCAAAGGGTAAGCAGATCCTGCTCCACATGTGGCACCCATCCTTAAGCTCAACAGACACATATAGGTCCTGTCTTGTGAGGTAGACAAATGGTTATAATGAACTTTCTTGTAATAAAGCTTAAAGGTTTGCAGCAAAAGTTTTGTCTTGAATTGCCACAAAATTTATGTTTTCCATTAAATACAATGTTTCAATAAATATAATGTCTGTGAATGATGTTTCTTCATTGTATTGGTACAAAAAGACATTGTTGAAGGCAGTACCATGACCTTCTACATCATATGTTCTCATGAGAGTTGTCTCATTTGCAATCATACGACATTTTCTTATTTTCAGTTCCCTACCGACGAAGTCGAAGGAGACTAGGTTTGCACTCCATCTGTCTGTCTGTCCATCCGTCAGTCCGGCAAATCAGTTTTCCACACTTTTTTTCTGCTTGCTTGGAGATATTGATTTGATATTTGGTGTATTGTTTTATCATGACAAGTTACAAATTGAATACAAACTTTGTTGTGGTCTGATGATTTTGTGCAGAGTTATGGTCCTTGGACTTAGAAAATTCACTCAAATAATCAGTTTTCCACACTTTTTTTTCGTCATGCTTGAAGATATTGATTTGATAATTGGTATATAGTTTTATCATGACAAGTTACAGATTGAGTACGAATTTTGTTCTGGTCAGATGATTTTGTGCAGAGTTATGGTCCTTGGACTTAAAAAATTCATTTAAATAATCACTTTTTTTCGTCATGCTTGAAGATATTGACTTGATATTTGTTATATAGTTTACACCATGACAAGTTATAGATCAAGTTAGCATTTTGTTCCAATACAACGAATTTTTAACCAGTAGGGGACTATGTATTGCCAAGCAATACTCTCAGAATGCTTGTTATTTCTATTTTATGCATTTTCTTAGCTGGTTTGATATTATTGCATTTTGAAATTTCTTAATACATACCAATCTTTGGAAAAGGGGTGATAAACCTTAAACATAGGGCGAAAATGGAATAAATTTCAGGACATTTATTAACCTTACAATAAGTCTATCTACCTCTCTTTTTGCGTGAACCCCTGAGGGTTTCTTTCTATGGCCACCTTTCATATACATGCGCAATAGCTTATTATTTGACCTGTTGAATCGTTAGCATCTTAAAGTTGCTATAGAGATATGTTACATATGATGCGAAATTTATTATGACGCAAGCTACTTTAATAAGCATTTGAATACTTCCTTGCACGCAATTACAAGCTGCTAATATTTACCTTACAAATACGCGTAGTTATTCTTATTAGAGTCAAACGTTGAAACCAGCTGTGTTTAGATATGAGATAAGATTTCAAGTAAACAATGCGATTTATATTCGAAACGAGATTTGTTAAAACTAAAATCTATAAAAGAAGTATTACTAGCATTTCACTTAAGATTCCGAGTCTAGGGAAAAAGTTACATAATGTACTAAGCAGGCTATTTCATAATTTTCATACCTCAACGTCCTTGTGGGACTAACTAAAGGACAATACTGAAATTAAAATGAAGTCTTTCTTGCACTTTATTGAAATTTTACGTCTAGGATAGACCAAGGACGTATATAATCTAAATTGATATACGTCCTTGAATAGTTTTTATTATACGACCACAAAAAATTTTTGCGGTCGTATATTGGTATGACGTTGGCGTCGTCGTCGTCGTCGTTGTCCGGCGTCGTCGTCCGAAGACACATTGGTTTTCGCACTCTAACTTTAGTTTAAGTGAATGGATCTCTTTGAAATTTTACCATAAGGTTCAATACCACAAAAGGAAGGTGGGGATTGATTTTGGGGGTTATGGTACCAACAGTTAAGGAATTAGGGGCCAAAAATAAGCATTTTCTAGTTTCCAGACAATAACTGTGGAACGGTGTATGGATCTCTCTGAAATCATACTACAAGTTTCCATACCACAAAGGGATGGTTAGGATTTGCTTTGGGGGTTATGGCTCAAACCGTTTAGGAATTAGGGGCCAAAAAGGGGGAAAAACAAGGTTGTCCTGGTTAATGGACAAATACTTTAGTACAAAACATAATTTAAAGCAGTGTAAGGGAGATAAATCAAATACATCATTGAAATTATCTCCCTTACACTGCTTTTAAATTATGTATAAAGTAATGGTTAATGAACAATTAAGATAATTTAAAACAGTGTAAGGGAGGTAATCCAAATACAACGTTTTGGTTACTTCCCTTACACTGCTTTTAAATTATGTTTAAAGAAATGCATATTTATAAAGGAAGACCAGTAAAAATATCTGCAAATGTTGCATCTTTTTTTTTTACAAAAAAATCCATATGAAAGATTTGACACTATATTTTAAATTTTATTATAAAATAGATTAAGTTAGCACTATGGTAAATTTAAATGGGTAATTATGGTTGCAAACTCCATTGGAAATTTGAATTGGGATTATGACCATATCTTGAGGGAAAGAATTTTTTTGGGGGAAAAAAAAGGGGGGGGTGGTAAAAAGAAATTGGGGGGGTCAATTTTTTCTCATTTCAGATTTCAGAAATTAAAAAGAATTATTCTTCAAATATTATTTTTTTTTCTAATTTCAAATATTGAAAAATTTCAAGAAGTAATCTTTAATTGCACAGTATGGCGCATTAGATTTGTAAAATCTTTGACCACATTTATTTATTTGTTATGCTGAATCTAACCGTGTATTTAGATTTTTAATTTTGGGTCCAGTTTTTCAAATTGGTCTACATTAAGGTCCAAAGGGTCCAAAATTAAACTTTGTTTGATTTTAACAAAAATTGAATATATGGGTTCTTTGATATGCTGAATCTAAACATGTATTTAGATTTTTGATTTTTGGCCCAGTTTTCAAATTGGTCCAAATTGGGGTCCAAAATTAAACTTTGTTTGATTTCAACAAAAATTGAGTATATGGGGTTCTTTGATATGCTGAATCTAACCATGTATTTAGATTTTTTATTTGTGGACCCCGTTATCAAATTGGTTCATATTGAGGTCAAAAGGGTCCAAAATTAAACTTCGTTTGATTTCATCAAAAATTGAATTATTGGGGTTCTTTGATATGCCAAATATAACCGTGTATTTAGATTTTTAATTTTGGGTCCTGTTTTTTAAATTGGTCTACATTAAGGTCCAAAGGGTCCAAAATTAAACTTAGTTTGATTTTAACAAAAATTGAATTCTTGGGGTTCTATGATATGCTGAATCTAAACATGTGTTTAGATTTTTGATTATGGGCCCAGTTTTCAAGTTGGTCCAAGTTGGGGTCCAAAATTAAACTTTGTTTGATTTCAACAAAAATTGAATATATGGGGTTCTTTGATATGCTGAATCTAAACATGTATTTATATTTTAGATTTTTGGCCCAGTTTTCAAGTTGGTCCAAGTTGGGGTCCAAAATTAAACTTTGTTTGATTTCAACAAAAATTGAATATATTGGGTTCTTTGATATGCTGAATCTAACCATGTATTTAGATTTTTTATTTGTGGGCCCGCTATCAAATTGGTTCATATTTAGGTCAAAAGGGTCCAAAATTAAACTTTGTTTGATTTCATCAAAAATTGTCTTATTGGGGTTCTTTGATATGCCAAATCTAACCGTGTTTTTAGATTCTTAATTTTGGGTCCCGTTTTTTAAATTGGTCTACATTAAGGTCCAAGGGGTCCAAAATTAAACTTGGTTTGATTTTAACAAAAATTGAATTCTTGGGGTTCTTTGATATGCTGAATCTAAACATGTGTTTATATTTTTGATTATGGGCTCAGTTTTCAAGTTGGTCCAAGTTGGGGTTCAAAATTAAACTTTTTTTGATTTCAACAAAAATTGAATATATGGGGTTCTTTGATATGCTGAATCTAACCATGTATTTAGATTTTTTATTTGTGGGCCCTGCTATCAAATTGGTTCATATTGAGGTCAAAAGGGTCCAAAATTAAACTTTGTTTGATTTCATCAAAAATTGAATTATTGGGGTTCTTTGATATTCCAAATCTTACCATCTATTTAGATTTTTAATTTTGGGTCCCGTTTTTTTAAATTGGTCTACATTAAGGTCCAAAGGGTCAAAAATTGAACTTAGTTTGATTTTAACAAAAATTGAATTCTTGGGGTTCTTTGATATGCTGAATCTAAACATGTGTTTAGATTTTTTATTATGGGCCCAGTTTTCAAGTTGGTCCAAGTTGGGGTCCAAAATTAAACTTTGTTTGATTTCAACAAAAATTGAATATATGGGGTTCTTTGATATGCTGAATCTAACCATGTATTTTGATTTTGGACATTGGACCATAATAGGTAAATTAAAAAAATTCAAGTTCTTAGACCACATTCTTTCTGTGTCAGAAACCTATGCTGTGTCAAATATTTAATCACAATCCAAATTCAGAGCTGTATCAAGCTTGAATGTTGTGTCCATACTTGCCCCAACTGTTCAGGGTTCGACCTCTGCGGTCGTATCAAGCTGCGCCCAGCGAAGCATTTTATTTTCTTTTAAAATTGCAATTTTCTTTGTTTAAATATTGCAACGTTATTTCCTTATCAAATGTCTATTAATTAATAGACACCGAGTGTTGACAGATGCAGGCAGAGATAAGAAAAATTAATTTCTATTTATAGTTATCTTGGTCAGGGAACAGATTATCTAACTATATGTTCGGCCTGTAGTAATTAATGTTCTTCAAAATGTTCGTCAAAATAAAAATAAATAATTATTATTTCATAAATACGATCAGATGATAAATTTTGAGGTATGTCCAGTGCACGATGTAGTGACGATATCGCCGATATTGTCAACTTCGTTCATGATTTATACCTGCTCGCAACATTGTCTTACTTGTTGTCTACATCGTTGATATCGCAGATATCGCAATGTTAACAACATCGTGACGACATCGTCTACATCGTCCCCCTTTCCTGTCTACATCGTTGACATCGCCTACATCGTTTTCAATTTCAAATAATGTATTTATATTACGCCTGTGTCAATGTTCTTAATAGTAGAACTTATTTTGACAGTTTTTTAATGTTTGCAAATCTCTATCCTCCTCCTCCTCCTTCTCCTCCTCCTCCTTCTCCTCCTCCTCCTTCTCCTCCTCCTCCTTCTTCTCCTCCTCCTCCTCATCCTCCTCCTCCTCCTCCTCCTCAACATCTTTGCGATGTTGACATTATAGATAACGTAGTAATACAGTGTTTTGACATTGTCTTTTTCGCGATGTCGGCAATGCCAACCATGCAGAGACAAGATGATGAAAGGATATCGACAAAGTAGTACAACACAATGTCGACATCGTTGTATTCAAAATTAACAATGTAAACACGAGTAATGTGTTAGTGATATCGGCAATGTCAACGATGTAGACAAGAGTATGAAACGATATCGACAACGTTAACGTTGTACAACATCGTGTCGACATTGTCTACTTCGCGATATCGTCAAAGTCAACAATGTAGACAAGAGTATGAAACGATATCGACAACATTGTACAATATTGTGTCGACATTGTCTACTTCGCGATATCGTCAATGTCAACGATGTAGATTAGAGTATGAATCGATATCGACAACGTTGTACAATATTGTGTCGACATTGCCTACTTTGCGATGTCGACAATATCGGTACTACTTTGTACACTGGACATGAATGTGAATTTTCGGTTTTAATATATTAAGTACGAAAATGTAAAATAGTGTAAGAAGATTTTGAGCCATCTCACTGATCAGTAAGCTACACAGTGCCCCCAAATGACCAGTATAAAACTATTCAGCAAGAGAGAAAAAGGATAGCCGAGTCAATGTAAGAAACCTACTAGGCAACTTCAGTTCAATTTCAATATCTCAATTATTCTAATGGATTTGTCAAATGTCAGGGAATATCTTTTTAAATGTGGTAGGAAGACAACTCTCCATCAAAACACAGTGTAGTCAAAATTAGCAATTATAGGTTATAATTCAGCCTTCAGCACAAAAGCTTGGCTCACATTGGACAGCATCCTCCCGAGGGCCCCAAAACACTGTTATTAATTAATTTAAACAGGAAAAAACAAACAGATCTAATTTAACTTCAAACCAGAAACAAAAAGCAAATATGAACTGCACCAAAAAATAGACAACCACTAAACAACATGCTTCGGACTTGGGACATGTGCTTATGAATACACCTGGTTTAAAAGAATTTACATACATACCATAAGACAGTAGTGTAATGTTACCATGTAAAAGACACCCTTTAATATTTAATGAAAAAATCGTGTTCAGATAAAAAAAAATCGTAAGGGTTCCGCGGAACCCAGTGTCTCGCCTACTTTTGCTGTAAATCGCAGGCTCAACAAAAATGAGGAAAAACATCAATAAAAATATTCCTCTCAATACTATTTTTTTTTATTATAAGAAGCTTCTGTCCAAGTTTGGTAAAAATCCAGGATAGTTTATAAATCTAAAAAATTTAACTTCAGACTGCATGTAATGTTAACTGGAAGAAAAACTAAGTCCATTTATAAGTTAAATACAGATAAACAGGTACAAAATTTTAACAAAAAATTTCCTTCTAGATACTAGCTTTTAATCATAAACAAGCTTCTGTCCAAGTTTGGTACAAATCCAGGATAGTATAAGAAAGTTATTAAAATTCAAAAAAAACTTTAACCTCAGAGTGAATGTATTGTATCCCAGCAGAAAACTAAGTCCATTTATAAGTAAAATACAAAAAAAATTGAATTTATTTTTACAAAATTTACTTCTGGATACTATCTTATGATCATAAACAAGCTTCTGTCCAAGTTTGGTACAAATCCAGGATTGTTTAAGAAAGTTATAATTTTACAAACTTTAACCACAGAGTGAATGTATTGTTTCCCAGCAGAAAAAACTAAGTCCATATATAAGTAAAATACGGAAAAATGGAATTTTATTCTTACAAAATTTACTTCTGGATACTATCTTATGATCATAAACAAGCTTCTGTCCAAGTTTGGTACAAATCCAGAATAGTTTAAGAAAATTATTAAAATTTCAAAAACTTTAACCACAGAGTGAATATTTGTGGACGCCACCGCCAACGACACCGACGGAATGTAGAATCGCTTTGTCTCGCTTTTTCGACTAAAGTCGAAGGCTCGACAAAAAGGAACACCTTACAACAGTTCATAACTGTGACCTTTAAACAAACTCATATTTAGGTGATGGGTATACTGATCAGTGGTAATTTCAGGTTTGACCATGCTAGTTTTTTTGTTGTTTTCAATTTTGTTTGTTTGTTTATAAGTACAAGGTGCATAAGCTGTTTTGTCTAGGCTATAAATATCTTTTTTAATGAATTGGTTGCGGTCATCAAGGTGAAGAGGATACAGTGCGATTCAAATTGTATATATTTACAATTAAACTTGCAGGCCTTTTTTCATGACCCACAATTTAAAATATAGAAAACATCAAAATAAAAAGGGACATCTGGAAAATATCTTCAAAGCGAGTTAAAGGTTTTAAAAGTGTTTGTTTTTAACAAAAGAGGTTTATCATCTAAAACTTTTAAAAGCATACACAAAGCACAGAACTTAAAATTGCCAATGCTTGCTACCCTAAGCATACAAAAACCTTGAAGAGAAGGAGTAAGGATCTTAATAATGATCAATATCAAGCCATTGTTCAAATAACCATGAACATATCTCAAATTCCAATGAAAACGGCTATTTTACAGGTTCATGTATTGCATTTCTTAATCACATATAATCATTAATTGATTAAATTTCTTCACATTTGCATTTGAACTTTAGCCTAAAAACTAACTCTAATTTAAAAACAAAAGCATCTTAGAATGGAACATCAAGTGGGTGACTTAACATGATGTCTTTTGGGAGAGAGGAGAGAAAAAAATATTCCTTTAACAAGAATATTTCACCCCACATTGAACAGTATTTACTTTAAGTAAACAGTCACTGTCAGTTTCTAATTCTTATATAACAAATATGATATAAAACAATAAATCTTTTTTTTTAAACAATTATCTTATATCTAATGCCAAACAAGCATTTGGGTTTACGATTGCATTTCTTTTTTTAAAGAAAGCAACTTGTTAATTCTTTGATTGATATGTTTATGCATTTGGCACAGTAAATATAAGGTTGTGTGAATAATGCTCAGTAGATTTAGATCATTGACAGACTTTCAGAATTCATTTTGTTGCAAGTTGTAAAAACTGTTACGTTATATATTTTACAGGATGGAACCAAAGTGTTTACTGCATCTGTTGATAAAACAGTCAAAATGTGGGACTTAAACAGTAACCAGGCTGTACAAGTAGCACAGGTAATTACTTTCTATATATGTACCTTTATGACGATCATATTATGGTATATCTTTGCCAGCTGTTTGTATGTCCAGCTAAAAACATATTACACACTAACTAAAGTATGCATAACTTCTATGTAATTTGGTCTCTGGTAGAGAGTTGTTGCATTGGCAAGCCTACCAAATCATATTTTTAAAATAATGGGATTAACTAAAACTTTTCCAACTGAATAAAAATGTATAAGTTTTAATCTTTGAATAAAAGTAAAAAAAAATTTTAAATGTTGAAACTCGTGTATGCTGTCATCAATTTTAGTTACCTTGATGTTCAAGTGTTGTGTGACTTCAATCATCAAGAACCAGACAGTTTTCACATGTTTCAATTTTGTATTAACCAGATTTTGGAAAGAAAAATCGGTTATTGATTTGGGGATGTACGACGGGCGGACAGGCGGCTGCTAAACAGTGTCCGTTCATTAACATGAAAACGCTTTGACGAAATTTAGATATGTTGTTTCCTGTGACTAAATGAAGGTCAAGTTCAATTTTGATGATTTTAACTTTTCTCGTTGTTGAGTTATAGCCCTTTCCAAAGAATTCAATTTTTTATGAAATTCTTATTAATTACTCCATTCTGTTCAAAGGGAAATAACTTTTTAAAGATTTTTAAAAGACATTGTATGAATGATAAATGATATTTTGGATATTTTTTTTCTTTTCTTTTGTAAATTGTTTGAAGAATTTCGTGGTAGGTTTGTTTGTTTTTCTGTATAAACTAATTTTCTGAATGCTATATATATAATTTTTTTTTGATAAAATGAACTCCTTTAATTAGATAATAATCTATTTTTATTAAAGGATATAGTTCATTACATTACATTGTGTAGATAAAGTTGTTGACATTGGTAGATATCTATCAAAGTTGTAGATCTATATTAGTTTGTGACAAATGAAAGAAAAAATATTTGGAACTATTAATTATATTCGATTATAATTTGAAAATAGATATACATTGTATAACATCATATCTAATTTAAGAAAATAGTGGTTAAATCATATCTAATATTAGAGAACTATGTGTTTATAATTTATTCAGTTTGAGTTATTTCCCTTTGAACAGAAAATTATATGGATAAAATTAAATTGTGTTTCATTTCAACATAAATTAAATATATATAGGGTTCTTTCAAATGCTGAATCTAAACCTGTATTTAAATATTAGACTTTTGGGCCCAGTTTTCAAGTTGGTCCAAATCAGGGTCCAAAATTAAACTTTGTTTGATTCAACAAAAATTGAAATTATTGGGTTCTTTGAAGTGCTGAATCTAACCATGTATTTTGCATTGTGGGCTTTATCAAATTGGCCCACATTGAGGTCCAAAGGGTCCTAAATTAAACTTTTGTTTGATTGCATCAAAAATTGAATTCTTGGGGTTCTTTGATATGCTGATTCTAACAATGTACATTTGTACTAAGATTTTGGATATTGGACCATAATATGTAATTAGATACTATAAGCAATAGGGCCACTATATGAATGTCCAATTTCAAATTTTTCAGTTCTTTGACCACATTCATTTTGTGTCACAAACCTATACTGTGTCAAATATTCAATCACAATCCAAATTCAGAGCTGTTTTAAGCTTAAATGTAGTGTCCATACATGCTCAACTGTTCAGGTTTCGACCTCTGCAGGAAATCTGGTTTGCTGTCACTCTGACAGCCTATGGTTCAAGTATGCTTTCACAAATCATTATGAAATTTTTACGCACTGTATTGTTCATTCAATAACACTGTATTCATTTTACTCTCACTGATTTGTAGACAGGCATATCACATATTCCTGACACACCTATTTACTTAGGGTAAAATACAGGCTACTGTAAATTCAGAATAAAATGTGTGTTTTTTTTTCTGTCAATGTATTTAAGTGATTTTAAGTTTAAGCTTGTATGATTAAATTTAATTGATTATTTCAAACATTAATGTGATAGATATGTTAAAAATTATTTTACTCAAGGATGGAACTGTTTTACTTTCAAAGTTGTATTTGCGTGATATTTATTAAGTACAGATTTTCTGTACACTCTCACCGTTATTTATTTTCATTTACACATGCTATTCGAACGTTTGGTTTAAACATACACAAGTTTCTAAATTTTTTTTTTTTTTGTGATTTTGACCTATTTAAACACTCGTGAAGTGTTCTAAAATCATTTACAAGCATTTTCAACTTTTATATGATAATGGAAAACAGGTTTTTCCATGAAAATACGGCAAACGATCACACTGTATGCCTTTAAAAGAAATCTAAGTTGGTGTGCAGTATAAAATTAAGGAGATATGGTATGAAGATTGCCAATGAGACATATATCCACCAGAGTTCAAATGATGAAGATAAAAGCAACTCTAGGTCACTGTACAGCCTTCAACAATATTAATGAGAAAAACTCATAGGGTATAGTCAGCTATAAAAGGCAGACATGAAAAATGTGAAACAATTTAAATGAGAAAACTCACAGCCTAATTTATACAATAAAATTTACAAAAAAACAAATGTGACCGACATGAACCAGTGGTGGGGTTAAGCATGATTGTGAGCATATAACCTTTCCATATCCCAGGACACTGGTGGACAGAACTGCACACTTTTTATGCCCCAGCCGAATTGGAGGGGGCATTAAGTTTTTCCCTTGTCCGTATATACGTACGTACGTCAATCAGTCCGTATGTCCCAATCAGTCCGTATGTCCCAAAGTTGGTTTCCATTCTCTAACTTTAGTTTGCCTCAACCAAATGTTATGAAATGTCTACAATATGCCTATAACCACAAAACACAGATCAAGTTTGAATTTTGGTGGCATCATTTTAACCGTTCTAGAGTTATGCTTCTTTACAAATGGAAAAATTGCTTAACTTTTCGTTCTGTTCTCTAACTTTAGTTTGCCTCAACCAAATGTTATGAAACTTACACTCAATGCTTATTACCACAAAATACAGATCAAGTTTGAATTTTGGTGGTGTCACTTTAACCATTCTAGAGTTATGCCCCTTTACAAATTGAAAAATTGCTGAATATTTCGTTTCTGTTTCCTAATTTTAGTTTGCCTCAACCAAATGTTATGAAAATTATACACAATGCTTATTACAAAGAAACACAGATCAAGTTTGAATTTTGGTGGAGTCACTTTAACCGTTCTAGAGTTTTGGCCCTTTACAAATGGAAAAATTGCTGAATTTTCCGTTTCCGTTCTCTAACTTTAGTTTGCCTCAACCAATTGTTATGAAAATTATACACAATGCTTATTACTACAATATACAGATCAAGAATGAATGTTGGGGGTGTCACTTTAACCGTTCTAGAGTTATGCCTCTTTCAAATGGAAAAATTGCTGAATTTTTTTTTTCCGTTCTCCAACTTAAGTTAACCTCAACCAAATGTTATGAAACTTATACACAATACTTATTACCACAACACTCAGATCAAGTACAAATTTGGGTAGCCTCACTTTTACTTTCTTCAGTTATGTCCCTTTATTACTTCATATGACATGCAAGCGGGGGCATCATCTGTGTCCCATGGACACATTCCCCATTTTTTCACTTAGTACTTAACATTATGTTGAGATTTTTCCTGATCAAAAGTGTAATTGAAAAACATATTAATCAACTCACTAAAATCAAGTTATATACAGAAACAAAAAGCTAACAATATCTACATTTTTTTTAGCACGATGCTCCTATAAAGACAGTTCATTGGATAAAGGCACCAAATTATTCCTGTATAATGACTGGTGGCTGGGACAAATTACTAAAAGTAAGATAATTGATGTATGACATTTACAGACAATAGCATAACCACAGACAAATCTCTTTCAGAAACATGTAGAAGAATGTCGATACCAGTTATAAACATTTAATTCTGTTAGATATAGTTTCAATCAACAAAGTGAAAGGGGAGAAAAATAAGGAAAGCTTATTTAATGTGAAATTTCTCATCTCTTGTGAGCACTTACAGAAAGATCTATAAGTGTATGTCTGATAGTCAATGAATAAAAGTATCTAAAACTCAAATGGCTACAATATTTAAAAAACCTTTTTGTTCTATGCAAAGCACAAGTTGGAATTCTACAATCGTCAGTAAATTTTTGAGATGATAAAAACCGGTTTGTACATATTCCCTTGCATATGAACATTACAAAAATAACTTATTACACCTCCCTCAATGTAGGAATCTGTCTGTCTTGGATGTAAAAATTGCTAACTCGCTACAACTCAACATTATCAAGCTGCAGTCCAAATATTAAACCATTCCCTTCAATAAGAGCAAAGAAAATGCTGATGAAAGTTTGCTCTGTAAGTGCAACTTAAAAGCAAAACATGCTTGCAATCAAAGGCATGGAAAACAAACCAAATAGATATGAACATTTAAGCATAAAGGTAAAAAAAAATAACAGATTAATAAAATACAAACCCAAAAGTTGTCACCCAAGTTAGATTTAACATTTGATTTTTTTTATTCTTCATCCAAATTAAAAAAGAAAAGCCCAGTAAAATCTTTAATTAATATTAATATAAACCTATTTTATATGTTTAGTTTTGGGATACAAGATCACCTACACCCATGGACACAATCCAGTTACCTGAGAGATGTTACTGTGCAGATGTTGTAAGTTACAGAATTAATTAACAGTTTATATTTGCTCCTTATCAATGTACAGAAAATATTTGCATCAATCCAGATTATGAAGAATTAAGATACACATGTCTACAGTCTTTGTTACCTTCAAATAGTCTGTTTGTCATGAATTTATTTATGTTTTATGCTGTGACTTTTGACCTAATATTATCACTAGATCAGCCTGAATCCAGGTAGCTTATGTTTATGGTAAACTATGTACAGTCTTCAATCAAAGATGCTTTAAATGCAAGAACACCTGAAGTGTAACAAATTTTAATGCAAAGATTTTTATTAGTTCATAAATGTTATGGTTTATTTGTTTTTACTGAGACTCTAAAGAGAGTAATGTATACATGAATAAGACAGCAATCAGACATCACAAAAAAAACAAAATATCTAAAGTTCAACATAAAGTTTTTCAATTATAGACAGATGTGGATTAATTTTAACAGAAGCTATGAAGCTCTGACATCAACACCAAATTCTCCAAATAACAAAAACACATGCCAATGTTGTCTTACGTTATCATGTAACACATGTAACAATATTCATTTATTAAATATTAGCTGTAAAAACTATATACCAGAAAATTAAACTGCAGATTGCTAAGTAATTCCAGCAGACAATGATAATGATGTTTTGTTTGGAGTTAATTAAGTTTTTACATGTTGGATTTCATCAATTTAGTAGCAAGTTTATTATAACTGTTTCAGCGTTACCCAATGGCTGTTGTAGGAACAGCTGGCAGAGAACTCATTATATACCAGCTAGAGAACAGACCTCAAGAGTTCAGCAGAATAGAATCACCATTAAAATTTCAGGTTGCTAACAAGAATCTCTTATTTTGTTATTTAAAAATTCTCAGAATCAAATGAAGCATACATGCCTTTAATTCACTAAGTACTCCATGTAAATTGTTTTGTATAAGTTATGTTCCATGTACAGTAAAACCTGCATCATACATCTTTATCACTGCACACAAGATCAAAAAGACACAGAATTTAATTTTCAGTAGGACAAATTTGTTTCCTAAAAATTCATTTATTTGACATTAATGACTTAAAAATTTTATTAAACACACACATATGTAATTTCACTAGTTTTCAGTCTGAATTTTTAATGATTCAACACTCAATGCAGTTAGCACCCACAGAATTCTAAACAACTTTTAATACTTGCTGTTTCAGCATAGATGCATCAGTATATTCCTTGACAAGAAGATCAACTCACCAACAGGTTTCGCATTAGGAAGTATTGAAGGGAGAGTAGCAATACATTACGTCAACCCAACCAATCCTAAAGATAACTTTACGTTCAAATGTCACAGATCTAATGGTGCCACAAATGGCATGCAGGATATATATGCTGTAGGTTAAAATTATGACTTTGTACTTCAGAGATAAATAAAAATACACACTTTATGAATTTTGTTATGTCAAAAGCACTTTTCTGGATTTACAATCATCTGGAATGCTCAAACCTAAAAATTTGAAAGTCAGGGATGTATTATGATGTAAAAATGTTGGGAGCTATATGATTTAAGGGACCAAAAGATGATTTATGTTGTCCATAAAAATTGTTGTTTTCAGTCTTTGTATAGCATTGAAGCATTAATTGATCAAAAGCCTCATAAATAACTATGGCTAATTATGATACACATGCCTATTCAGGGAATAAGCTTTAAAATTTCACTCATGGGGCCCAACTGACAAAATGTAGAAAATTTGTATTGACCATATGGGAATATTCTGTAAAAAGTTAGGGGCCCAGTCAAATTTTCAGTAGCATTGGCAACTGCCCCTGCTATTATTATGATTAGGTTTTTAATACAAGGATCACTTTTTTTTGTGTTTTTTTTTTTGATCACCAGATTATGTCCAGAGAAAGAACACAATTTTTCTGATTGTTTGAAAGAACATCAAAACTACAAATAAATTTTCTAAAATCTATAGGAGAAACAGATTCTATCTCTGGATCTATTATGATACTACCTATATCTCACTGCTCAAATTTCAAATTTTAATAACTATCACTTTCTTAAATTTAAAATCATTCACTTCCTTTAATGGAAAATTCTTGTATCATTGCATTTGGTGGTAAAATCTATGAACGTGATATATATTCACACTTTAAAATTGTATCATTTATTTCGTTTAGGTGAATGACATATCATTCCACCCTGTTCATGGTACCTTGGCAACAGTGGGTTCTGATTGTAAGTTCAGTTTCTGGGACAAAGATGCCAGAACTAAACTGAAGACATCAGAACTATTTGATCAGCCAATTACAGCATGTAACTTCAATTCACAAGGAACTGTTTTTGCTTATGCAACCAGTTATGATTGGTCAAAGGTTTGTACAAATAGTATTTATTTATATTAGGAAAGATATTGTGTTCATATATTTATTGTTCATTTCTGCATTGTAAATTTTAAGTTCAAAGTATTAAAAGAAATATTCTTATATGGGGAATCAATAAGCTGAACATTCCACATTAAAATTTGTCAAAAGATGTTTGATCATGATCCTGTGATTTCATGGCTGGAAATTCAAACTTAGTATTATAATTTGTAAAAAAAAACATTTATTTAATCATGACATCAATCAGATATTGTTATGGGAGCGTCCTGATTCAGTTGTTTCCAGCTGATTTCGTCCTGATTACGGTATCCCTTTCTCAATATGATTTTCATCTTATATGTATCGTTCACATGTTAAAAAAATGACAGACTCTGTACAGATAAGCCAAAACAATAAGTCCAGCTGCTTGTAAGGATTTGCTAAAACTTCATAATTTTATTTGTAAAGACTTAATTCACATATTTGTTCATTCCTAAATGATGTTGTAATGTTAATTAAGTCATGGGATAAAGTTGTTTATTTATCTCTACCCAGAATGCATTAGAAAGTTTATGGTGACATGTTTTTATGCCCCCGCCGTAGCAGTGGGGGCATTAAGTTTTACCCTTGTCCGTCTGTACCTTCGTACGTACGTCCCAAAATTGGTTTCCGTTCTCTAACTTGAGTTTGCCTCAACCAAATGTTATGAAACTTATACACAATGCTTATTACCACAAAACACAGTTCAAGTTTGAATTTTGGTTGCGTCACTTTAACCATCCCTTTATAACTATATGATATGCAAGCAGGGGCATCATCTGTGTCCACATGTGGACACTATCCACATTTATTGTTGCTAACTATAGCAGGATCTCAGAAGCTTTGACCTCAGGTGAAAGTATTGTCTTACTGTATATGATTTTTTATTCTTTCCCATAAAAATATCAGTTATAACATATCTGACATTTATGTCTATTTCATCATCAATCATCACAATTTTTAAATATATTCAGAGTTGTCTTTAGTTATTTAACTTCAATGGTTTACAGTCAAATATGCTAAAAATTTGGTTAGCAGATTTTGTTTAAAAATAACAGCTTTTGAATTGAAAATGAAAACAAAATAAAATTTTCTAGATAAGAATAACTTTGACCTGGTTGAATTGATAAAAAAAATAAAGTACAAAACTATTACTCCTACAACTAAGAGAACTGCATTAAAACAAGTATTCTTTCATTGCAATTATTGTTTTCCATTTACTCACATTAACAATTAGCCATTCAATTTCAGGGCCATGAAGGATTTGATCCTCAGAAGAAACCACACATTTTCCTACGATCTTGTTTTGATGAACTGAAACCTAGTATGAAGAAGTCATAAACATAACTGGTCATGTCCAACAAAATTGTTGAGTGTGGAAATCAGTACTTAATGTTAAGTACAAGACATGCCAGATTCAGTCATATATTGACTTGTCAATGAAAAATGTTGTATTGTTTTAGTGATTGTCTTTCAAGTCTTTTTTTTTTTTATAAGAACCATACTAAAGGAAAAAAAAGGTTAAAGTCATTCAAAGAGGTTTTTGGACTGACCATAGATAGTACCAGTACATTTCTCTTGTAAATTATTTTCATGGAATAAACCAAGTATATTTCCTGGCAATATCTCTACAAAATGTTGATTATTGATTGTGATATTCTAAAATATTCTTTTGGTACATCTATGATATCTGTAAACATAATATGGTATTTACTACCGGTACTATTATATAGTATTCAATGTTTTCAAGGTTATAGTTAAAAAATCAGTGGTTAGTGGATGCAAAGTTATCTTGAATAGCATTTTATAAATTACATTTATTAAAATATTAAGGAGGTATTTTATTGAAACACATTTGTATTAAAGAAAAACTGTATTCATTTTATTGTCAATGAATGTGGTCTTTACTGTCAATATTGTGTATTTCAAATTTTGTTTACAATATTTCTTGGGAAAAAATCAATTGATATTACATTTCTTTGGACATGATACAAATTACTTTAACTGAAAAATTCTTATTTTTGTAATTTTGCATCATTGTCATTACATAGTCATTTATTAAATGTATTTTTTTTTTGACGGACTATATTACAAAAACGATTATTTATAGCTACATAAATCTCCCAAACATGTATATAGTCACTTGCATGAATTGTTTTGAGGATTTTGGTATATGTGTTATATTGATCTTTTTTAGATTTCATAATGAATTGATGTTGAAAAAAACATTATAGCATTTCCCATCAGTTAGATGAAAATGTGTATTGTTTACCATATGATTGGTTTAAAAAAAAATTATGTTGTCAAATTTATTCCTTTATACTTTAATATGCCTTTATTTAAAGATCTTTGCTGATGATGCAGTGATGAATAGCAAAATTACATCTGTATCTTGAATAAATGGTTAAGTCCATATATTGTATTGTCTTTTTTGCCCTTAAGTAGTTGTGAAGAAATTGATGTATTGGTTATTCATTGTTTTGAATGTTTCTCCAAGTCATTCTTTATGTCTACGTTCAGAATTTGGACTCCCCAGCAAAACTGTGATTCTGTAATATCAGAAATTATTGCAAGGTTTTTATTAATGTGAATAATGCGACATTGTGAGTATGGCAATAATAACAACTCACATTCTGATATCTGGTACATATATTTGTATGCAGCTTTTCGTAATATTGCAATGATAAAATTCATCTCTTTAGACGACCGCAAAATTTTTGCGTTCGTATTATGTCGTGGCGATGTCTGCGTCATCGTCCGAAGACATTTTGGTTTGCAGACAAAACATGAGTATAAGTGTATAGAGCTCTATGAAATTCTAGCCCTAGGCTCCAATCGTCAAAAGGAAGGTTGGAATTGATTTAGAGGGTTACTGAAGTAGCTATTTAGTAATTAATGGCCAAAAAGGGGCCAAAAACAAGCTTTTTTCTGGTTAGCAGACAATAACTTGAGTATAAGTGTATGGATCTCTATAAAATTAAAGCACAAGGTTTCATACCAAAAAAGAAAGGTTGGAATTGATTTTGGGGGTTATTGTTGTAGCTGTTTAGTAATTAGGGGCTACAAAGGGGCCAAAAACAAGTATTTTTCTTGTTTCACTCAGGACTATAACTTGTGTATAAGTGTATGGATCTCTATGAAATTTTACCACAAGGTTCCATACCTCAAAAATGAAGGTTGGGATTGATTTTTGGGGTCATGGCCTAAATCCTTTAGGAATTAGGGGCCGAAAGGGGCCAAAGATATTTTGGTTCACAGACTATAACTAGGGTATTGGTGTATGGATCTCTATGAAATTTTAGCACTAGGTTCCATACCACAATAGGAAGGTTGGGGTTGATTTTGGGGGTTATTGTCGTAGCTGTTTAGTAATTAAGAGCCAAAAATAGGCCAAAAACAAGCATTTTTCTTGTATGCAGAAAATAACAAGTATAAAGGTATGGATCTCCATGAAATTTTAGCACAAGGTTCCATACCACAAAAAGAAGGTTGGGATTGATTTTGAGGGTTATTGTAGTAGCTGTTTGGTAATTAGGGGCTATAAAGGGGCCAAAAACAAGTATTTTTCTTCTTTCACTCAGGACTATAACTTGTGTATAAGTTTATGGATCTCTATGAAATTTTACCACAAGGTTCCATCACTCAAAAGGAAGGTTGGGATTGATTTTTGTGGTCATTTAGGAATTTGAGGCCAAAAAACTAGGATTTTCTGGACAATAACTTGAGTGTAAGTCTATTGAGGTCTGAAGGGTCCAAAATTAAACTTTGTTTAATTTCATCAAAAATTGAATTATTGGCGTTCTTTGATATGCTGAATATGATCATGTATTTAGATTTTTTGTCCCACGTGCAACCTGTTGCTGGGGACATTGAAATACCGGGTGTCCATCTGTCCTGCCTTGTTAGCGCTCTCACATGTACAATTCTTATCAGATTTTTATGAAACTTATATAATAGGTTTATATTAGAAATGTTTTGGATAGGTTTGAAAATCAGTGCCGATCAATTATTTTAAAAAGAGTTATGTCCCTTGGAAACATTAATTATATGGAAAATTGCATTGTTAGCGCTCTCATATGTACAATTTTTGTCAGAATTTTATGAAACTTATATCATGGGTTTATATAAGCAATGTTTTTGACACTTACGAAAACAAGTGCTGGGCAAATATTTTTAATGAGTTATGCCCCTTGGAAATATTAATTATGACGGAAATCGCATTGCATTGGCTCTGAAGCCTTCATTTCTCTTTAAAAGTTTTAAAGAAAGAAAAAAATGTGTTTATTTTAGTTATTGCCCTTGTACCTTAGATAGATAAAATATGTGCAACGTGGGAGACATTGTAACTCTGTTCTTTTATAAATTTGGGGTCTGTCTTCAAATTGGTTCATATTAAGGTCTAAAGGGTCCAAAATCAAACTTTGTTTGATTTCATCAAAAATTTAATTATTAGTGTTCTTTGATATGGCCAATCTTATAGTGTATTTAGATTTTTGATTTTGTGCGTGGTTGGTCCACCTTAAGGTCCAAAGTATCAACAATTAAACTAAGTTTGATTTTAACAAAAAATTGAATTTTTGTGGTTCTTTGATGTGCTGAATCTAAGAATATATTTAGATTTTTGATTTTGGGCACATTTTCAAGTTGGTCCAAATTGGGGTCCAAACTTTGTTTGAATTCATCAAAAATTGAATTATTGGTGTTCTTTGATATGCTGAATCTAACAGAATATTCTGATTTTTGATTTTGGGCCGGCTTTCAAACTGGTTTAGATTAAGGTCCAAAGGTTCAAAATTTGAATTATTGTGTTTCTTTGATATGTTGATTCTAACCATGTATTTAGATTTTGGATATTGGACCATAAAAGGTATATGTCCAATTTTAAATTTTTATGTTCTTAGTCCCTTTTTTATTCTGTGTAAGAAACTTATGCTATGTCAAATAATTAATCACAATCCAATTCAGTGATGCATTGCACAATTTATAGAAATTGAAAGTAGAATCATAGTTAAAAAAAGATCAGTATCATATTCTAATTTTAGAAATTATGTATAAATATTATAGTTTGAAATTTACTGTTAATTACTAGATATTTTGAAAAATAAAGGTTAGTTGTATAGATTTTTTAAGCGAACCCCTTTAAAAACTTAGCTAATTTTGTCCATCAAAAATAAATAAATTGAATTCTTGATGTACATGGATATGCTGAATCTAACTGTATTTTGATATTTGACCATAAAAGGTATAAGTCAATTTCAAATTTTTCAGTTCTTTGACCACATTCATTCTGTGTCAGAAACCTATACTGTGTCAAATATTTAATCACAATCCAAATTCAGTGCTGTATCAAGCTTGAATGTAGTGTCCATACTTGCTCCAACTATTCAGGGTTCGACCTCTGCGGTCGTATCCAGCTGCCCTCATTGGAGCATTTTATTGTTCATCCTTCAAAAATCGCAATAATAAATGCACACAATAATTTCTGAATACAGTAATTCATAGAGAAATTGTATTATGTCAGGATAATGAAGATATATGCAAATGTTGGGTCCTTGACCCTCAGTTTCTGTTTTGGAAAGTTGAAATATCTCTTAGGTCCTATATGGCTGTTAAAACACAGAAGTTTAAAGGGTGTCAAGTATTGTTAAATTACCAATTTAGTATGGTAAATGATTTTTAACTGCTTTAACTCTTTATATTGTTGTGTCTTATGTGCCTTATGTGTCCTTCTCTGTTTTTATTGTTGTGACAAGATCATGAAAGTTATAATGGATATATGGTCACGTTGAGACTTGGCTTTGATGACTTAGTGAAATGATTTTAAAAAAAATGAGAGTTATATGGCCAGGGTTGCAAAGTATGTGCAAAATCAATGTAAAATGGTTTACAATGTAGTGACTAAGTTCCAAAGTTCAGAAAAATAAGAAAAATTCCTCAAACAATTCCATAATAACAGTTGCGCTAATTCAGTATTTGTGAAATCTTTCTGTGAAGTTTCAGGTATCTGGGTTAAAAACTGTAGTAGGAGTTGATAACACAAAACTGATAATATCTTTTGTAAATTTTGCTGAAAAATGTTCCCAAAGTGGAAAAATTAGAAAAAAAATGTGACACAAATTCTACAATAGCATGTGCACAACTCCAACGTGTGTGCAATATTTCTGTGAAGTTTAAGTTATCTGGGTTAAAAACTAGGTAATACGATTACACAAAATAGGTACCCACTTCTCTTTGATCTTCTTCCCAAAATCACCATACTATGGGCAGTGTTGAACTTTGTCCATCTCAGGTAAAAATGACATAAACTTGACAAAATGTGAAATTGATATGAAAACAGTTTATAGGGCAAAGGATAGACAAAGATAACACAATATACAACATAAAAACTAAAGCCAGACTAGCCCTTAAAAGCAAATCTAGGGGTGAACTCAAGTGCTGCAGAACGGTAAACAGATCCTACTTCACTAGTGGCACCTGTCTCATTAATTTACTGGTGGGGCCAGGTGAGTTAAAAATGAGATTCGGATGAATTTATCAAAAACTGCAAATACATCACTAGATTTTTCTCGACTGGCGGCGATGAATGTGAGACATAGTGATGATAATTAGACAGCAGTGGCGATGGCATTCGCTATTTGCATAAAGCTTTATATTCAGTCCTGGATATTTTAAATCTTGTATACAGATTCCTTATGTTACGAGGTTTCTATATGTATATCTTTATTTCTCAAATACGAAATGGTACATGTATAGAGATAAGTTTTCCGTCTGACATATAACTGTTGTCCTAAATCTCATTTTCAGGTTTAGCGAATGCTTTAAAACACGAGTTTTACTGTGAAGTGATTTTTTTTCAGTTATTATGAGAAGTAGGAAAACTATATTTGGTATACATGTATATATATAATCATGAAAGATATACATGTCGGTCAGATAGGATTAATCTGTTCACCTTACATTGATCAGTGATCACAACGTTAAATTTTCTTGAATTGGTTTATTTCTGAGATATTGGAAAACGTAGGTGAACTATATTTGATGTATTAAATGATTGTAAGTTACACATGTGTCTGGCAGTGTTCATCTTACCTCGTTTATTTGTGTGTTTCTCTGTCCTGTATGTTCTTCCATTTATTTGTATTGTAGTCCTGTCATGTAATGTTGTCATTTTAGTGTTATATTTAACATTGCCATTAAAGCGGGAGGTTTGGCTAGCCACAAAACCAGGTTCAACCCACCATTTTTTCTTACAATGTCCTGTACCAAGTCATGAAAATTACCATTGTTATCTTATAGTTCGTTTCTGTGTGTGTTGCATTTTAGTGTTTCTGTTGTGTCTTTGTTCTCCTTTTATATTTGATGTGTTTTCCTCAGTTTTAGTTTGTAACCCGGATTTGTTTTTTCTCAATCGAT